CTGGGTGAGTAGGTATGCAGCCGTGGTTGGAGGTCAACACCGCTTCTTCAGGCATGCGCATGCGGGAGCTAGTGAGTGTGCTAGTTGTCAGGAAAACGGTACATCCTAACCGGGGACTGGTAGAGAGACATGCGAGCTGCCACAACTGGATGCACATTCCAACACCGGAGCCGGCGCAGCGAGCGTTTGGCAATGTAGCCGGACAGTAATACGGAGTGGGTATATCCGTACCACAGTCGGAAAAGAACAAGGACAGTGAGGAGAAGCGTTTGTTGAATTGGTATTGGTATTTTTTACCCCCTTCATTCGCAGCTCCGTAGCCGCTTGACTCCCAATGCAGCCAGCCCTCCACCGCCCCAAAACTCGAAAAGAAAAAAGAAAATCATACTCAATGGTATCTTTGTCATCTCTATCCATGTACGTATTGTGACTCGTCCTATTGCCGGCCAACACCACAAGACAATAGAAAATAAAAACAAGAACAAAAGGCTTGTCGGGCCTTGTTTTACTGTGGCTCCTTGTATCGGTACCCTCCCATCCCGTCTCCGCTCCTCTCCTCCGCCTCGACCACATCCGATTACATCCGGTGTTGGTCGCTGAACGGGCCGTGCGCGTCGTGGTACTCAGCAGCCGGGTGGCCGTGCTCCACAAGCGGCTGGCTGTCCGTGTTTTGGACCCGCACCGTCGGCGCCTTGGCTGGTTGCCTAGCAATACTCGCCGCCTCGGCCCTGGCCGCGGCGCGCTTCTTGTGCTTCCTCTCGCGGCAGCAGAGGAACGTGAGCCACCCGAAGGACAACGTGACCGCCACCGCGAAGAAGATGGCCACCGCGATGCCCCCGGGGTACACCGTGTTGTCCAGCTTGAGGCACGACGGGTTGCCCGAGAGGTCGTCCGTGCAGCGCAGGCCCGCGGCGCACGTGGCGAACACCAACTGGGTCGGGTAGCAGCCCTCGTTAAGTGTCATGCCTTTCCTCACGCCCGTCGAGACGACCGGGCATAGTGTCGTCGACTTGGTCGTAGTCGTGGAGCAGGTGAGTAGCGAGCCCGTGTCTGTGCCCGTGCTCGTGGCCGTGTTGACTGCTTCGGTCGCCGTTGTCGCAGCAGCGGTGGTCTGGCGCGCGAGCACGGGCATGTGCCGCTTGCGCAGCTCGGCGGGAGCCTTCTCGTCGTTGCCGCATCCATCCAAGGTCCGTTGCGACTCGATAATGGCTTCGGGAAGATCGCAGCCGGCGTGTATGTAGCATCTCTCGAGGTCTGTCTGCCTCAGGTCGTCGGGGAGCATTTCGATGCAGTGGGCCACGGATCCCGGCTCACCACAGCCCGCAAGCCTTGCCAGCTCAAGACTCCTCGAGCGAAGACAGTGTAGCTTTGCCGGCGACAGAGCGGAAATCGCCGTTGCGGAGAGAAGCGCAATAAGCGCCGCCGAAGCGGAATGGGACGAACGCATCTTGGCCGGGATTTGTGGGTGGTGGTGGGGGTGGTGCTGCAGTAACTGCCTGCCGAGACGGGGGTCCGATCGGAGAGGTGGTGGGTGGAATTGACAACGGTTCGGAGTGGGCGCCCAAGTGCGGCCCCAGAAATTTGACCAAGTCGAGTCGCCCAAGTCGGCAGCTTCCTGATTCGGAAAGTCAGGTTCTGTCTATGTTGGAAAAGGCCAGTCTATATGTCGGCTTGTCTGGCTAGGGCTTCGTGTGCGAGTGGAACGACGACCGGTTTGTGCTGGTCTGCTCGATGTCGAAGGGTACTTCAAAAGAGACGAGGGAAATGGCAAGGAAGGTAGGCAGGTAGGTAGGTAGGTAGGTAGGTAGGTAGGTAGGTAGGTTAGGTACCTTTTGGTTGAAAGAAAGGGAGGGAAGCAGCACAAGACACGTAGGCGGGTGAGATGGGAATGGGCGTTATAAGAGGAGAGAGAGAGAGGTAAAGAAGGAACGACGCCGCCGCCTGGCACTTTGGGGCTGGACTGGGCTGGAACAGCCGGCGCCTACCCTACCTAGGTATTATTTTTGGCTTGTTGCCAGTCCCCGTTGTCTCGTCGCGGCTTTCTTTCTTTCTTTCTTTCTTTCTGTACGTAAGCTGAGGGACGCCAACGCCAATGCTCACGAGCATCTGCAGCTCAGCACCGAGCCAGCCGTAGTTGGAGTCGGTGGATTGGCCAAGTTCCGGTCTCCTACCTTCCCACTACCCACTCGTTTGAGGTAAGCCTGCAGCACTTGGACTTTAGCTTGGACTGGTAAGGCTGGGGCGGGGCATTTTGCCAGCTGGTGTTTGCTGACATGCGATGCTCGAGGGGTGCGGCTGGCGAAGGGAGTCGTGGTGGCTGACGGGGTCCACCTCCATAATTGGCCAAACTGCCCTCCCTGTCTAGGTACAATACCCAATACTCCGTACCCTCATCAGGGTTTCCTGCTTGGTAGGACGCTGCTTATTTTCCATGTGGTGAAGGCTGTGCAATAGTCTTTACTCTATTGCTTCTTACTCGCCTCTCTGTAGATAGGCATCACGCCACAGACCATCATACCAAGCTCCCCAGAATCTACTATGTATAGGTAATGGCTCCGTCCGAGAGCTCTCAGCTTACTGTCTCTGGACCCAAGCTAGGTAAGATGGTGCTGTTCTCGTCGTGCAGCCATGCCCGAAGCAGACAAGGGCGGGTCGGGTGATACGGCGCAAACCTTAACAATGGCAGGCTCCTCCGGAAACGTTGCACCGAGTGGGTTTCAGTGCTGGGCGTTATACTATGTATGTATTCTGCCTCGTCGGGTCAGATTCTCTGTGTTGTGTAATTCGATAACAGGCTGCAGCATTCCTCACGCGGTGGTACCACTTTGGGCCACTCACTTTTGGCAGGCAGGGGAAGAAAAGAAAAAGCCGCCGTCGCTTCCGATGAAACGGATGTCGGTGCTGCGGACAGTACGGAGTACATAATTAATATCTGCTGCGGCTCCGTCCTGGGGTGGCTCGTGGCTGAGACTAGAATATGGAGGGCTGGACCAGCCATCGGCGCTATTTGGGCGACGCCGTGCAGCAGCAAAAGCTGCTCTTTTCGCTGCCAGAAAGAAACCCTCGCAGAGGCCATTTGCCTTGTGTCACTTTGTCGTGTTTGTCTTTTCATCATCTTTGGGGAATACAAGGGAGGACGAGGCCATCCATCCCACCTGCTGCAAAGAGGGGTGTATCTCTGTCATCTCAGAATAAGGTGGCCGGGAAACGGGACTTGCGCGCTCAGACGTTGAAGGCACCCCCCGACGAGGCCACTGTTTCTGTCGCAGGCAGGCGGGAGAGTAGTGTATGCATGTATAACCATTAAAAGAGGGGGAGGGGGGCTATATGCCTGGGTCGCTGGCCGACCAAAGCGGAATGTGGAGATCCTGCCACTATACCGCAACGGAATGTCCATTTTGCACTCTGCCTCCTCGAGGGACAGGCCTACGACGCAACTTTTTTGGTGCCCCGGCGATATTAGACTCAGTTTAATAACAAGGTACCCAAAAGGGTCCCAGTGTTTCTATGACAGGAAATCCCGACCAGCCGTGCATGATCCCG